AATATATATAATTATATATATAATCTGAACCCCGGAAACGGCTCTAACGATTTTCATAAAATTTAGTATACAGGGGATTTCGGGGGCGATAAATCAATCCAGCTTGTTGTTTTATTCGTGTTGCTTTATTCGTGTTTTCAATAATCAACTTTATCGATAATTTTGATTTTTTTCTTTAAATAACCAGTTCATACTCTTATTATTATTTTGTTGGTAAGATCGAAAAATATTATGCATATTTCATCATTTTATCAATATTTATTTCGTATTTAAATATAATTTCTAACAAACACAATTTACCAACAAAAAAAAAAATGCCGATCGGTCATTATCTAGTAATTATTATAACTTGAATTGTTACGAGAGTATCTCGCACATTCAAATACAGAGAATGTTTATCTATCAGCCCAAAGACGTCCACTGCTAAACATATGCCTCCCCAATCCTTGCCAGAATCATCAGTCTTGCGCTGCTTCCATCCAGCGGATCCTAACGAATTTCAGTAGGTCGTCGGTCCACTGGTGTATATACATAGGTATATAGTGTATACGGATATATACGGCGGATATAGTGTAGTAAAATTACGCTTCTTCTTCCTTGCGTCGATAATTCTCAATGTTGAGGGTCCTGGCCTCCTCTTATAACTTTCTCCTGGATTAGCCTGTCTAGTTAGCCTTTTCTTAATTATCAAAAAAATTACCTTTACATAATATTTATATAATATATTATTCCTAGTTTGAACTGTACATTTCCGATGTTATGCACATGCTATATCTATTAATAATCACAGATTTCGCCAAGACTACACAATAGACAGATAAACAATGTTAACCTATTATTCTCAATTTTATTACAGATTATAAATAACAAAATTTTGACAATAAATATACAGTATACATATGTGTGTGTGTGTCAAATACATGGTAGTGTGTTGAATGTTATATTATTGATTTAATGTAGTATTAATGCATAATCTTAAAATAAATATTATTATTCTGCATTCCTCCCTTCGATCAATAATACTAGTATTGTTGATCGAAGATTCCTCCACTATATTCTCTATAAGTGTGGGTAATTTCATACTCCTCCGTCCGCGCAATTTTCATAAAAAGGGGTACATAGTTATTGCTTCACGTATTCATATATTAAATAGATTGTATACAAGTGTTCGTTCCTCCTTAAAACAATTCAAACTTTTATTTCAGCATTAAATCACTGAATTGCATCCATAAATCCCCTTAACACTACGTTTTTCGCATTGACGTCCAAAATTACTTTACAAATCGCTTCTATCCGACCAATTTCGGACAAATTCAACTTTAATCTTCACTCGATTGCTTTTAATTGGATTAAAAATGTCGAAACTCTGATGCGGACAATTATTGGCATTTCAGAATAGTCCTGGGAAAGTTTTGTGTTCGCGATTAGACCTCAATTAATTTGAATCTGTGCAATTTCAGTGTCTGGCAAATTGGTGAATCAATCAGTGCGATTCGATTTTCGATAATTTCACAATATTACATTTAATTGAAGGCGATCCGTTTGAAAATGATTCCTTGGAAGGAAGAAGAAACAAATTTATATGAAAACTAAGCACTGTATTAAATAAATTGTAAGCATGGGAATTCAATTTTTCAATCCCGTCGAAATTCTCTTTTGATCTAGAATAGTCTAAAACTGTAAAAGTAGATGTATCACGTCATAGAAATTTTAATTTAATAGTGGTAGTCAAAATTTAAAAGATACTAAGCACGCTGTAGCCTAAGATTGGAACTTATAATAACTAAGGCGCTTTCTAGTCACAGACACTCTCTCCATTTTAGTTTATTGTTACAAATTAAATAATTGATTACTATATTTTTACGAAGAAACAAAAAACACATCTAGGCAGTGGCTCGTTTCGGCATATATTACTGTCAATGAGCAACGTTGAGCATTCACGAAAAGAATAAGCGTCAATCGTTCTATCACAGTTATAAATAGTATTTTGAGTAATTTTAAGAGCACAAAAAATATAACGATTTAAGTGTGATACAAAAATTGTTAATACCTCGAATTAAAATTGAAAGTTAACTAGCTAATATAGCTTAAATAAAAATAAAGAGGAGATTCTTAATTCTATGCAGGTGTTTTTCATTATTATGATCAAGGAATACGCAAACAGCTATAGAACATTCAAACTTCATTCAGATGCGTAAACTAGCGACATCGCGTTTTGACATGTGACATTAAGTAGTTCGTCCCACTTTGTCTAGATGGCGCAACTGGCGCGCATTTTTTATTGCTCGTTTTAATAGTGGGGACATAAGCTTCGATTTAGGAACATTGATTGACACGCCTTGATATACTTTCAAATAGTAAAAAGTGGTACTAATAATTTTATTCTGGTAATATTTAATCGAAACATCTATAAATAACATGTAGTAAATCATCTTATTTTATAAAATTCATCTAACATTAATATAATATAACACAACGAAATATTAGAATGCTTGAAAAATGATTTGTAATATTGTTAATTCTTCAATAATACTGTTTTTCATTACATATCAATTATGAATAGGTATAAAACGCCACAATTAAAATGATACAACAAAAAAGCAACGTTATAAAGCTATCTAATTTGTTAAGCATCAAATGGCCCATAGTCCATTTATAGAATATTTTTTCTGAGCTTTGTTTGTAAAAACAAGTTGTGTTCAATCCAAATTGAAGACATTATGGGAACGTGTCATTTTTTGTTTCTAATTGTATATATTTTGTAAGAGATAATTGTTTGTATGGAAACAAAAAAAAAACGGATCTATTCGGATATAAACGGAGCTTACATTGTAATCAAATTATCTAAACTTAGGCATGCTGTAAGACCCGAAATATTGAATTTTACTTTAATGTTTGTGTCTGATAATAATGGTCAAGAAATGATAATCAAAAACTCAGAACGTCAACATTTTTTTTATATTTAACCTTCATACTTGACTTCGCAGATGATTGTTAATTTTGCCAATACATTTTACGGAACGATCGGAATGCACTTGTACCTATGTATGTATTAAGGTGTTATTCCTAATGCGATCGAGATCTTTGCCTCTCATTCCAATCTTTGTGACAACGGCGAGAAACCTACTCCAGCAGTCTATGGATAAATACGACTCAATTTCCCCATAGACACAACCCACTGAGCTTCTCTCCAATTTTTATTTTTTTGTATTGATGCAATGGCGGATCCAGGGGGAGGGTCATGGGGGTCATGACCACCCCCTGAGCTGGGTCCAGGACTTCAGTGGACCACTAATTGAATATAATGATTTTATTTATATATTTTGTCACCATACAGATTTTATGTAACTACATACCTTCAATATTTAATTAATTTAATATAATATAATAACTTTGTATAATGGCAAACGTTTGGGAACGAACGCATCTAAATTTGACTATGTGACCCCCTCCTGGCGCCAAAGCTGGATCCGCCCTTGCTTAGATGGGTGGACGAACTCACAGCCCACCTGGTGTTAAGTGCTTACTGGAGCCCATAGACATCCACAACGTAAATGCGCCATCCACCTTGAGATATAAGTTCTAAGGTCTCAAGTATAGTTACAACGGCTGCCCCACCCTTCAAACCGAAACGCATTACTGCTTCACGGCAGAAATAGGCAGGGTGGTGGTACCCACCCGCGCGGACTCTCAAGAGGTCCTACTATCAGTAAAAAATCTTCTTAGTGGGTCGCGATTTCAATCCGGTGGTAGATTCTACGAAGCACTGCTCTTGCTAGGGCCTGTGTTAGCATACTCTCTCGGGTTAAGTCCCGTGAGCTCATCTACCAGATAGTATAGCTGTAATATCCCCTTAGCCCAGCGAATAGGTAAAAAATAATCGACGACATAAGCTTAACAGTACCTAACTAGGGTCCAAGTCACCTGCCCAAATGTATTTAGAATTGATTATTATATTATATTAAAAAAATTATGTAGCTATTTACGGTTAATATTAAATTTTAAAACTATATACTAGACAATTGAGACATAGATCTCAAGGTGTCTCAAGGTGGGCTGCGGTATTAACGTAATGATGTCCATGGACTCTGGTAAATTTAATACGTGTTGGGTCATAAAATGACTCACCTGGATAAGTCCCATAAAACAGATTGATTAAATTGGATAGAATAGGTAGGTTAATAAAATACTTTTTTAATTGCAAAACACATTCATTTTAAATGTGAAATTTATCATCTTTTGTACTTATGTCATTGTCATTGTTATTTACTTATGAAAATGGTTTTGCGTGGATTTCTTTTATTCATGTTTTAATTTTATTAAAGTTAAATTCCCATAATATTTGTACCATTACTTAATTAACTAAAAGGTAAATAAAAGAAAATGTAAAATTGAAAACAGTTTTTCTCTTCATATTTCGCTCCGTGTTTAGCCTCTTCAACTTAATTACTAGTTAGGAATCTGTTTAAATACATATTTACATAATTACAATCTTAATTAAAACGAACACTGATACTCTTAAAGATTAAAATTAAAAATTTAATACGGTAGTACTATCTAGTGATGTCATAGCCACAAATTTGGAACGAATACGCTTAAAACAAGGTAATACTTTTAGGTAACTTTAGTTAGCTAATTTAAATCTAGGTAAAAACTATCACATAAATAAATCTTTAAGAAAACTTAACAGTACCTACGCAACTTATTAAATAAATAAATAAAACAATTTTCAGTCTTTTAATACGATTGAAAGATCACTGAAATTCGAAACGGCAAAATCATTTGTCATTGGAGCAACGGAGTTATAATGGAGACGTTCACAGAAACAGTTGTAGGTTTTAATTAGTTTTAACTTTTTTTTAAGAGATACACTTATCAGTCCGAAAATCATCATCATCATCAGTTCTTTGGCAAAAAGGATTTCGTTTCATCCAATTCCGAAACGTGTTGATACAATAAATACAAGCGTGGTTCTATACAGCCATATCGACCCTAAAACCATTACATTAACGTTTCATAATGTCCTCTATTGAGAATCCTAATGTCCTTTTCGGCCCTTCGACAGGAGATTGATGAGGGCTGACAAGTGGCTGAAGCTGTTGCGGTAACGCAACGGGACTTTTATGGGACAGATCCAACAAAGAGCTGTCCGTTTGGCTTGTTGAAGAGACCTCTTGACAACCATCCAAATGGTCCAAATGGTGTTTGTTCGCTTCGCTGTGCGTCAGCAAATGCGTCTTCAGATTAGATCTTTGGTTGAAGCTCTTGTTGCAGACCGGACATTTGTGCGGAGATTCTTCCATGTGCAAAATCTTGTGCACCGCTAACGTTCTCGATTGGCAGAATCCTTTCCCGCATTCCGTGCACTTAAACGGCTTCTCCTTCGAATGAATGTACCTGTAAAATAGAAACCGAAATTTAAAACCATGTTCAACTTTCACTAGTAGAGCCGTAAGCCGACAGAACCACAAGTCGTGTACAAAGTAAACAAGCATCGACGCAGTTCTTTATGGCTCAATAGGCGACAAAGTAATGGGCGGTTTGAATGAAAATTGAAGTGATTCTATGTTACTGACACATTAGACTGTTAATATATACGGAACAAAATGAGAAAGAAAAGAAAAAGAAAAAAAAAACGAAGAGTCTCGTAAAAGCGAAGAAATATAACGTGTAATTTGTTCGACGGCGGACCAAGACAGATATTATGTTGATCGTAAAGAATCAAACCGGTTGTTAGGAGAACGCGTGCGGCCGTCGTCTCGCGACCTCACAAAAAGGTTTACGCTTTTGATTTTTGTTTTGTTTTACTCTGTTATCGTTAACAAAAACATCCAAGAAACACCCTTTATATCACAGCTGAATTAGTACATGAAATCTCAGATGAATCTCTTAAGGCTAACAATTGATTAGGAACACAAATAGGTGAAAGAATTTTATATGTGATATAAAGAACCATTCATCACGATAAAAGTTACAACACTATCGTATGACCCGTGCGGGGCACTCTCATAATTCTATCACAAGAGTCATTGAAGATTAACTTACCTATGATCTCTCAGGTGGTCTTGTCTTCTGAATGCCTTCCCGCAAATGTCGCACGAGTAAGGTCTCTCGTCAGTGTGCGTTCTCTCGTGAATCAATAAGTTGTAGGACTTTGTGAATTGGCGATTGCAGTATTTGCAGATGAACTGTTTCTTTGGTCTCGCTCCGGGAACGCTTGGCGCTCTTAGCGGCGGAGGATTTCTTCCGGGCATTCTTTGGGCCATCACTCCCGGATAGCGCAGGGAATGATGATACAGCGCGGCGTTTCTTATCCACTGATTCACGAGCATAGCGTGGTATGGGGCGGAGGGTGGCAGCGTCGCTACTTGCGCCTGCATGTACGCTGACATGGCCGGGTGTGAGTAGGGCATTTTATCGTAGGAGTACGGAGATTGCATTGGACGAGGATAGGTGGGGTACGATTGGGGTGCGGGTGGAATCCACGCGGGTTGGTGACGGGAGATAACGACAGCTGGGGGCGTGTCGTCTGTGGGTGTGTGTGGTGGCGTCGGCAAAGGGGGTGACGGTCGCTCTAATTTTACCAATGCTTCTATAGGGAAGTCTGGTGGGTAGCCTGGAGAAGAGAAACACCTTGATATATAAAAAATCCACGTTGGCCTTACAAAAACGCTTAGCGTTTAAGTACACTATGCTATTAAAGTATTGTATAAAATCATTAAAAATAATTAATCATATTAAAGTCTACAGCAATACAAAAAAATAATGAAATTATCTTTTACACTCCTAATCAGTTATATTAATTTACACTCTGTAAGTAAAATCAATATTTCACAACCAACCATCATTGTGTGTATTTTTATTTTTATCTTGATTACAAAAAAAAAAACCTAACCACAGCTAACGTTTAAAGATAAACAGAGGCACTTACTGTGATTTTCTTCGGTATGCTCATCGTCGTCGTCCACGTTAATATCGTCCGAACTATCAACACTGTACGGCTTATCTTCCATATTCACAAGCGACGAAACTAAACACTAAATCACTGTCCACGATTTCGATACAATACGGTATCGCTGTACCTGTGTGTTGTCACTGACAGACCGGTTTAGGCTGACTGACACTGACAACCGGCTTGCGAGAGCGCGCAGGGCGTTGTGACTTTTTGTGCGTACGCTATCTAAGCCAGCGGTTGCGCGACTGGGAGAGGGAACATCAAAAATGCCGTTCTGGCCGGCGCCTGTATCGGCTCCCGAAGCAGCATTGTACCTCCCAGTAGGCGGAGCTTAACGAGCACTGCCTTCGGAATCGATCGGTAATTCTCGCGAATTTAATCCAAACATTCCCCCTATAACAGGCCCTGCGCCGTCTGCCCTTGCCTTTGATAGCTTGTCAAAGTGAATTGTACGAAGGTTCGTATTGCTTTAGAATTGAGTTTGTTTGGTAATGCATATTTTTATTGACGCGCCGGCCCCGTTGAGGCTATTAGTTGAGATTGCTCTGTTAATTTAGTTTCGTCTTTGTAATGATCCGTGTATGTGTTCTTTGTTTAGTTGTCAGTCATTTAAATCGCATTGTCGATTACGATTGCTTACTTTACAAAAAAGTTTCATGTATCGAAATGAGTACGAATGAAGCCCAATTATTTGTATTAAATTAAAAAATTACTTAGATTTTAATATGAGATGGGCTCATGGTGTAATTCGGGCGCTATCGTAATCCCACATTGAGGACTTGGCAAAATCTCAATTGTATTGAAACAATAGTTAACATACATAGCGGAATACATGATTCTTCCGTGGCGCTAATAAGGACTATACTTTTCTATAAACGCATGCGGATGATATGATCTTTCTCCAGTACTCAGTAAGTACAAAAAGGAATCAATTTGAAGATAATGCAGGAAAATATGTATTGTAGTGATATTAGTTAGGAGAGTAACTCGAAAAAACGCCGTGGACATAGACATAAATCTTCTAAGCCTGTACCTAATATAAACAAAATAGCTGATGCCTATAGAAACTATTATATCATACATTGTACAAATTTAGATTTAATTAAGTCACCAAAGAAATTTGTAACTAAATAAATATAATAAAATATAAGGGGGTAATGAAAAATAAAACATTACAAGTCATAATTGTAAAATACAATGCAGTTAACAACTACAATACAATTTAGTATGATATACTAAATGAGTAAACACGTACCTACTACACATACTTAGATATAATAAACACCTAATTTTGTATAGTATTTATTTCTTTAGATGAACAACGTATATTTTTTTTATTTTTTTTTATTGCTTAGATGGGTGGACGAGCCCACCTGGTGTTAAGTGGTCACTGGAGCCCATAGACATCTACAACTTAAATGCGCTACCCACCTTGAGATATAAGTTCTAAGGTCTCAAGTATAGTTACAACGGCTGCACCACCCTTCAAACCGAAACGCATTACTGCTTCACGGCAGAAATAAGCAGGGCCTTTGAAAAGAATAATTTAAGGGGTTAAGATTTTATTATAGCAAACCAAATCGAGGTATAGAAATAAAAGTTGAAATGTTTACGTAAATGATTCGTTTGTTATGAAACTGTGATCAGTAATAGTTTCTTAATAAACAAATTTTATATAGCTTATAGTTAGTTACATTATACATAGTGCTATTAACACTATGCACGCTTCTTAATCTCGTTATTTTAATTTAATTTTTAATATTCACCAAATTATTTCATTTGTTTTTTTTAAAGTTAAAAGCAAGGCCTAGAGTTGTAGGTCATTACGGATCCTCCCGATCCATTAACGATGCTTTTAGGTACCAAAAGCATCGGTCACCGTCCTCGTCGAACCCCTCGCTTGCGACGAAGAGCTCGACGAGCAAATTAACCCATAGACACAGCCCACTGAGTTTCTCGCCGGATCTTCTCAGTGGGTCGCGTTTCCGATCCGGTGGTAGATTCCGCAAAGCACTGCTTTTGCTAGGGTCAGTGTTAGCATCACTCCGGTTTGAGCCCCGTGAGCTCATCTACTAGTTAAGGTTACGCTGAAATAGCCTCTCAAGGCTCTCAGCTTAGGTAGGAAAAAAAAGAGTTCTAGGAGACAGAATGAGCAATAGGACGTAAGTGCCGAAGTTGGAGTAATAATTGTAGGTAATCGAGGATATATACGCATTTTTTTCCAAAAGCTTAAAAACTGAAACTTATTATTAAAAGTACAATGACCTTTTACATGACAATCTCACTTTTGACGTCCATACTGGAATCATGGGATCATGTTTGATCAAATTATGTATTAAGGAATTGGAAAAAAATAAAAAAAATCCTCATTCCGTATCTATGCGCATCATTCGAATTATTCCGAAACTATCTGCAGATTACTGATTACATGATATGGCAAAATGATTACCCGCGTATAACGCAACAGCCACACATCGGTTTTGCGTAAACCAAACTTTTTGACCTTTACCTCATTACACAAGCAGATTTTGAAACAATATTTGACAGGATGTCATTCACGTCACCGCGTCGAATGTGGCCATATGAAAATTCATAACAGTCGTCATAGGTGTGTCACTATGGCCAACGTTTCGATGCGTATATACGCAAACATTGGTCAGGTGTTCCGGCGACACACGACACTTAGCGGCACCCTTTGTGGAGCCATCAAAAGAGCCGACACAAATAAATACTATTCAAAGTGTTAATGTCATAACTACGGTGCGCGTGTACAAATCAAACTCTAGTGTCATTTGAATAAAAATTAAAGTTGCATTTGTGGTTTTGCGGTTGTGACATTTCGATTCTTGAGTTCGACTAGCCGGCTGTGCCACTAGACACCGTGTTGAGTCTAGAAATCTGTTAAATTGACGTTGCTTGAGCTATTATTGCGTGAACAAACAGCGTCTTACCTTGAACGCTTAGGTTACCTTCTTTATTATAAGCAATACAGTTAAAAATACCTCGTGCACCGTAATTTTTATAGAGGTAAAATACTTAGGCGTCTTTATTTCAGTGTAAAAGCCAGAAAACACAAATGTCGTAGCCACAGTCTCAAATTTTCCAATCTCCATTTCAATGGCTCATGTCCTTAAATCAACTTATTGAACTACTGCCAATTTAACTATGTCAGGACGGGTAGGTGAGCTCACGGGCTCAACCTGAGAGAATTTGCTTACACTAGCTCTAGCAAGAGCAGTGTTTCGCAGAAGCTACCGGCGCTGGATCGGAAATGCGACCCACTGAGAAGATCCGGCGAGAAACTCATTGGGCTGTGTCTATGAGCTAGTTCGCTCGTCGAACTCTTCGTCGTAATTGACGAGTTCGACGAAGACATTTGCTTGAGCGATCTAAAAGCACCGAGAGTGAATCCGGGGAATCCGACAAAACATATTTCGGGCGACAGCAGCTTTGTGCTCTACCTATATCTACTGCGAAAAAGGCTGGGAACAACACTTGGGAATTATATCTCATATTAATGTGTCAATTTGTCCACGGGTATTCGCATCGTGCCGTTTATAAATTCCGACTACTGCAGAACTCCATTGCAGGCGAAAGTGCTCCAATCCAGGGCTCTGAGGAATACCTACATCTCGTTTTTACCATCGCACCGCCCGCCACCGGAGTAGAGTTCGTCCGTACTACCTGGAGCCACTGCGGTCATCCACAGTGCGTTTCCAGAGGTATTTTTTGCCACTTACCATCCGGCTATGGAATGAGCTCCCCTCCACGGTGTTTCCCGAGCGCTATGACATGTTCTTCTTCAAACGAGGTTTGTGGAGGGTATTAGGCTTGGCTCTGCCCCTGGCATTGCTGAAGTCCATGGGCGACGGTAACCACTCACCATCAGGTAGGCCGTATACTCGTCTGCACACAAGGGCAATAATAAAAAAAGGATCTTGCAATAAGCTTGCAGTGAAAATATTTTCCGCACACCATAACCCCAAAGTGATTTGTATTATTTGGAATTGAACGCTCTGAACTTCTATGTCCACGCACGTTCTTCGTAATAAATATAATCTTGTAACGGTACCTGCACTATGGGAACCAGAGACGGATATATCGACCGTAAGGTGCCAATACCTTCCAACTCCCAAAACGTGAGTATTTGAGTATTCACATCTGAGCAAAGCTTATAGAGCTATAAGATAAACAAGGCATCACAGTGGGTACAAAACCATTCTCTTATCGTTATAGAAATCGTAAGTCGAGATTGTACGCTCATTGAATTTGAATGTTTAAAAACGAAATTAAACGACTCTTTGATGCGACTAATGAGGTTTGGATTTTAATTTAAAGAATAGTAGATTGCAAATCTAAATGACTAAATTTGCATATTCATTTCTATGTATCTTTTTGTTTATGTAGTATATAAGCATCTTTTATTAATAAAAAAACAATAGTTAGAAATCTTTTGATGTTTAAGACAATATTTCAACGAATGTTTTGTCCAGTGCCATGGTTCCCAAATACTAAATACTTTGTTTAATTACTACTATGTACACTAATATACTAACTACAAATATATAGTTATATACTTAGTTTGGCCATAAATACTGTTACAATTAAAAATAAACAAAATATTACATTTGAATTTGGAATCTGTAATTTTTATATGATTGCTCATTGAGTTTTCTCATTTTAGCGCCAATACATTGTACAATATTTTGCGATATTAAAATGGAGTGGGGTGATAAAGAGAACCGAATCGCTGTGATTGCATTACACAAAGCAGGTATGGAGCCAAATGCAATTTTTAAAACTCTCCATACGCTTGGTATTAGTAAAATGTTTGTGTACTTACTTCTTCTATATCACTACTGAGGATCGCGACCACATGCGATGTACTTCCAATGCACCCGATCATGGGTGGCATGGACTGCATGGTACAGACTACCACCGAGTGCTTCTCTTGCTAGATCTGACCATCTGGCTGGTGTTCTGCCCACGGCGCGCTTGCCTTCTATTCGACCCGTAATTATGAGCTTCTCTAATTCATGTCTGGGAGACCGCATGATGTGTCCGAAGAAGCTCATAACACGTTCCCGGCAGATGGAAGAGAGCCTTTTTCGGATGTCTAGCTGCCTTAGAATGGACTCGTTTGTTCGCAAATGTTTGTGTACCTGGCTATTAATAGGTGCAATGAGACCTCC